CCTTTTCGTAAGATTTTTAAAAAAAAAAAAAAAAGAAAAAAAAAAGAAAAAAAAAAGAAAAAATATAAAAAAGAAAAAAAAAAACAGAAAGAGGGAAAAAGAGCTGGTGGTTTGATCATTTCTGCCGTGATGTTTACAAGATGGCAACCACCGAAGCCAAATGATTAACCTATCTATGAACAACAGTAGTTTCTCAGGGTCACTGTCCTTGAACCCAACTGTCCCCTATGAGCGTCACTGCCCACCAAAGGTCAATGTTGAAAGACAAAGAGGGAGGAGGGGTAGGACTACAGGGGCCACTCCAAACTCGCTTAGGTAGAAACTATTGGTGCTTGACTCTCACTAGGCTAGACTCCTGATTGACCAAATCGAGTAATAGGGATCCTGGTGGGAGGAGGGAGGGCACATGTCCAGGAAAATGAAAAGCAATACAACTTTACCATAAAGCCTTTAAAACCAGTAACATGCTGCTCAAGGACCAAGAGCGACCGCAGCAGACCCAGCAGCAGCAGCAGCAGCAGCACACACACTGCTGCCTTTGTCCCCACACAGCCTCTAAGCGTGCTGACATCAGATTGTTAAGGGCATTTTTATACTTAGAACTGTCCTATCCCCAGGTCCCCAGATGTATGGACACTGCCTTAGCCTCTTGGAAATCAGGTAGACCATATTCTAAGTTAGACTCTCCCCCACCCTCCCTCACCTCCCATCCCCAGGCAAGGCTGACTTCTCTGAACCAGAAAAGCTACTCGAGTTTGTGTGTCGTGTCCATTTCGCAAACCCACTAAGCCAGGACCCCAACACGACAAGTTGTCCATGAGTATTCCTAGCAAAATTCTCTCTTCTTTCAGTCCAGTAGATTCTCCTCTTTTTCTTTTTTCTTCTTTCTTTTCTTTTTTTCTTTTCTTTTTTTTATTTGCTGTGACCTCTTCAAACCGTGGTACCCCCTTTTCTCCCCACGATGATATTTATATATGTATCTGCAATACATATATCTACACATACAGAAAGAAGCAGTTCTCACAATGTTGCTAGTTTTTTGCTTCTCTTTCCCCACCCCCACCCCACTCCCTCCAACTCCCCCCAAAACTTCCAAAGCTTCGTCTTGTGTTCGCTGCACAGAGTGATTTGGGGCTGACCTAAACCAGTTTGCATGATTCTTCTCTTGTGATTTGGTTGCACTTTAGACATTTTTGTGCCATTATATTTGCATTATGTATTTATAATTTAAATGATATTTAGGTTTTTGGCTGAGTACTGGAATAAACAGTGAGCATATCTGGTATATGTCATTATTTATTGTTAAATTACATTTTTAAGCTCCATGTGCATATAAAGGTTATGAAACATATCATGATAATGACAGATGCAAGTTATTTTATTTGCTTATTTTTATAATTAAAGATGCCATAGCATAATATGAAGACTTTGGTGAATTCCTTCTAAGATAACAATAATAATAAAGTGTTACATTTATTGGTTCCCCCCCTACGTCTTTCATTGTTATTCTTTAAAAACTTCTTGAAGGAGAATATCTGAACCTGAAATCACTGGTTGATTAGTTTCTTAAATGAATGAGTTGAAATCAACATTTTCCAAAAACTTTTAATTATTGGATCCCATTATTAGTCCCATCCTCACTGTAAAATTGAAACCCAAATTCCTTACAGGGTTAGAAGAAGTGTTATGGTCTACAGGCTTCTCAGCAATCCAGCCTCAAGACTCAGCTTCTCTGTTCAGTGACCTCTACACTCCATCATGCAGACAGTTCTCAAAAGGATAGTGCTGTCTCTCCCTTTTAGGTTTTTTTCATGCTGTTCTCATTTTCTTTCCTTATTTTTTCTCTTAGAGAGATTTTTGCTATAGGGTGCATGCACTAGCCAGAGAGACAGAGAGACAGAAAGTGAGAAATCACCCCCCGGGGGATGGTCACACTGCAATCCCTTCTCCTCCATTCTGCTCTCAGGATTTTCGATATGCACACACGTGTGCCCAGTGTGAGTTTCAAGCCTCTGGGTCCAGGACTAGAACTGTGGACCATGTGAGAGTCCAGTGACGTAATCACTACACCATCTGTTGATGCCATGTTCACATTTTCTAGGAGACCTTTTCCTTCACTTTTTGCCTACACTGGAAGCCTGGGAGCAGGGGATGGGAGGGAGAGATGGTAGGCCAGGGACTGTGTGCTTGTTTAGCAGCACTAAGAAAGCACCCTCAGTACTAAAACTGAGTGATTTAGAAAGAATGGGAAGAGGAAAAAAGACAACTGCTTCAATGTTACAAGGAAGACAGACAGCTCTGTTGTTACAGTGACACAACTCCAGGGTCAGACTTCAGGGACTGGAATTCTGACTCTGTCACTTACAATTCCAGATGAATAATTTTCAGATGTATCAGTTTCTTCATCTATAAAACGGGCACACTGAGAGCAATCTTGTAGAGCTGTTACAAGGAGATAAATTAAGTGACTTGCTTATAATTCCCAATTCCCAGTTCTGCTCACTTAGTCTCTGCTATTATTGTCACAAGGCGAGGGCATGAGAGGAAAAACTCATCTCAGAAAATGGTAAGAGGACTCTCACTAGAATGACTGCTGGCTGTTAAAGGGTGGATATGAGTTCTGGCACGGGAAAGGGGGAGCTTCTTTGACATAGATGGTTTTAAAAGAGACTTTATATAATTTTTTTTTTGAGAGGTTTTTGCTATAGGGCGCATGTGCTCACCAGAGAGACAGAGAGACAAAAAGCAAGAAATCAGGGGGGATGGCCATGCCACAATCCCTTCTCCTCCATTCTCCTCTCAGGATCTTGGGCACGCACGCACACGCACCCGGCGTGAGTTTAAGCCACTGGATCCAGGACTCGAACTGCAGTCGACTACATGGGAGTTCAATGACATAGCCATTATGCTAACTGCTGGTCCCTATATAATTATTTTTAATTAATAGATTTTTCCCATATTTCAAATTCAAATGGGGACCTTTTTCTTGATAATTCATTTCTATCCCCAAACTGTATTTTTCTTAAGTTTACATACACACAGGGCAACTAATAGTACAAAAACTGTTATTTCAAGGCCAAAAAATGTATTACATTTGATTGACTTCAACCTAAGGAAAAAGAGTACATTTATTTCATTATTATCCTTTAATAATATTTATTTGTACAGAGAGGCTGTACACTGTGCTACAGTATAGACATAATCCTGGGATTTCTGTGACATGAGTTCAAATCCTAGTTCCTCAAGTATCCATGTGGCCTGGATCTAAGTGACATCTTCACCCATTAGTTCTTTCATGTATGGAAGTACTTCCCCCCATGAGAAATATACAAATAATTCCTCCAAGAGTGCCTAGAATTAAATGTGTTAACATATAAAGCACTTAAAATAGTCTCCAGCAACAGAAAGCACTCAGGATAGCATTTGTTGAGCATTCAACATGTGTAACTATTACCACTTTTTTTTTTTTTTTTTTTTTTTTTTGAGGGCATGGGGACGTAGCTACACCACATTCCCTTCTCCTTTATTCTACTCTCAGGACTTTGGGCGTGCACATACACATGCCCAGTTTGAGTTTCAAGCTTCCGGGTCTGGAACTCAAGTCGTGGTCAGCCATGTCAGAGTCCAGCCTCTTAACTACCACACCACCTGCTGGCCCCACCACTTATATTAATGCTACCATTACCACTTGGATGCTACTTCCAACTTCAGAGACAGTCTTGGGGTATCATTTTGGATAAAGGACGATTTTCTTGCCTTTTTTTCTTTTGTATACCACTCGACATTACTATTTCATCAAGATTTTGCTAATTTGAGTTATTAAATACTACAGCCTCCTCAAAATAGGAAATTATACTATAGTGAATGGTGCTAACAGATAGCATAACGGTTAAGACATTGCACTTCCACATGGTTGACTGTGGTTTAAGTCTCAGACCCAGCAGCTTGAAACACACTGGGCATGTGTGCATGTGTGTGTGCCCAAAATCCTGAGAAGAGAATGAAGGAGAAAAAAATTGCAATGTGGTCATCTCCCCTGGAGGGTGACTTCTTGCTTTCTTGCTCTCTCTGTCTCTCAGGAGAATACATGCACCCCATAGCAAAAATGTCTCTTAAATAAGGAAATTATACTATAATTAACACCCACATCACATCACTAAGCTTAAATAAAATAGCACAGATATAACAATCCCCTGTGTATGCCTCCTTGAACCCATTCTCACATTAACAATCCATGACTTTAAAAATGCTTTGAAAAGCCAGGGTGCAAAAAGGTTAGTATCTCTCAAATTTTTGAAATATATCTAATTTTTTAAAAATCTATCAGCCTCCTCAAAAGAGGCTACAAAGGCCATGGAATGGTGAGTCTGTGGTATGCGAGAAGAAAAGGTTAGGTCATCCCTCCTATAAGATCTACATAAATGCCTTAATAACAATTAGCATATCTTCCAAATCAGTGTTTATAAGATTTACTGTACATTCAGATCAGCTGGAGATTTTGCTAAAATGAATCCTTCTGAGTGAGGCGAAAGGGTCTGCATTTCTTCTTTTTTTTTTTTTTCCTTTCAGATTTTTGCCATAGAGCCCATGCACTTGCTGGGAAAAGACGGAGGGGGACAGTAGTAAGAGACAAAGTGAGAAAGCACCCTCTCCAGGAGAAATGGCCACTCTGCAATACCTTCTCTTCCGTTCTCCTCCTAGG